ACGCATAGTCCATTGTATCAGGGAAACATGTAGTAAAACATCACAGCTGACCGGAAAACATAATGAATTTCTGCAGAAACAATAAGTGAAGCGTTAAAGGAACAGTCCAGAATTTTGGACATATGGCCTCATTTCCTAGTGAGCCAGAGTGTTGGAGACATGTGGAGACACTTTTTAAAATATTCCATCCAGTCCTTGTATTTGCAGAGGTCGCTGGTGTTAGGCTAGTGCATGTCAATGGCCATAGTTATCCTGTCACTAAAAACAAAATCTTACCCACTCCACAAAACACCCAAAGCAAATGTATTATTACACCAGACTGTTGATGTAAATGTCTGTGTTGATAGAATAATGTTTGAAATAAAACTAACCTTGCATCGCATGAATCGTCGCATGTTGAGGGACTATTTTCTCATATCAGTCCGCCGCTGCCAAACTTTCTATCAGGAAGTACAACTTACTGCTGCTGCTCAGACATAAATCCTTCAAATGCAATGTTGGTTTTACTTCTAAAATCATTCTAATCAACACAGACATTTACATCGACAGTCTGGTGTAATAATAGATTTACTTTGGGTGTTTTGTGAAGTGGGTAAGACTGTTTTTAGTGGCAGGCTAACTATGGCCATTGACATGCACTAGCCTAGCACCAGTGACCTCTGCAATTACAAGGACTGGATGGAATATTTAATAAAGTGTCTCCAAATGTCTCCAACACTCTGACTCACTAGGAAATGAGGTCCAATGTCCAAAATTCTGAACTGTCTCTTTAAAAAGAGAAATGTGGTTTTATTTGTAAATCATAGGTGACCAATGAGAGTCTTTTGTTTCACATGTGTCACTGAAATAAACAAATCTGATTAAACGATGACATTTGGCTTGAGAAACAACAGAGGCAGTGTGAACCAAACTGATCTCAGTCTGTACTCTGGATCCCAAACACCTGTTCTCAAACGAAAATAAGTTTACTGCCATACTGTGGAAGATTACTAGCCTGACCTCGCAGCATTAGGATTCGTTTGCTTGATGGTGGATGGGTACTTTTTTTTAAATATATCACTGCTATTTGGTCGTGACGTATGTAATGCCCTAAATCCCTTAGGAAGAAGGGCAATAACGTCTTTCAGTGAGCCAGTTGTGTGTTGATTTTGTGATTGGGTTTTCATGCAAGATTAATTTTTGAGCTACAACTAACAATGCCGACAATGATTCTAGTAGTTGACAAGTTTTTTCAATAAATCAACTTGTCAAAAATGTTTAAAGGGTCCATATTATGCTATTTTCTGGTCTATGTTATGATATAATAGCCTGATTCATCAGCTGGTTTCACTTTGTGCAACCGTCTGACCTCGTAACATTAGAATTTGTTCACTTGACAGTAGGCGGGTGCTTTTTTATTTAACCATTCGCTGCTCTTTTTCGCTGCTCTCAAATCCCGTAGGAAGAAGGACAATAACGTCTTTCCCCTTAATAAAATTCACCAAACATTCTCTTTGTTCCGGCTTTAAATCCTCGATCTCAGGAATCGTTGCCAACACAGAATGTATGGCTTCATCTACATCCATCTCGACGCTTTGTTTACTGTTGCGCTGTTCCACAAAAGCGACCCAGACAGGCGTGACGAGTTTGACGTCATGGCTTCGCAGCTCTTCTCTGTTTCGCCGCGGTCTACAATTTCTGGGGATCTTGCAAACCTTCTAGTGTATTCCGATTCCTGCCCTAATCGCTGGAGAGAATTGAAATTGAGCAGAGGCAGTAGGTGGCACCAGCATGGAGACGAGCAGGTGGAAGAAAAATTACATTGTGCACCTTTAACTCCAGAGTGTTATTTATCAGCAGTAAACTAAAACATCCCCCAAAGTTTGTAAAGTTTTCCTTCAAACTGACACATTACAGTAATATTTCTCTGCGTTTGGCTGCGTGTGTGAGTTAAATCCCGGTTTATTTGTGTGTATGCGGTGTTCCTACAGGGTTAATAGAAGCCACATGTTTACAGTGAATGTATATTGGTCTGTTTTGTTTTGAGCTCAGCGGTCGTGTTGGGACAGCTGTTAAATATTACATAGTGTCTTATAGTTCACCGGAGACTCAAATGTAGGTGAGACTCAAATCTGGGTCAATGGGTCAGGTCTGTAGAAACATGTTTCATAAGTTTGTATTCACCTAATTCCAGAGATTGAACGTCATCGTCGTTCAGGTTGTGTTGTTTTGAATGAGGCAGGTCATAACCGCAAATAAGCTCTGTACAGACTATAAATCTCTTTTAAATCCTCCCAGACAGTAGGTGCGGTGTTGACTTGTAAGTGAACATTGAACATTTTACGCAAATCCACCTGCTTTTCTCAAATTCTCCATTTAAATTTATGGGATTCAGTGCCAAAAGAAGCATTTACAAGCAAAAGGGGCAGAGTGGAATAACGTCAATAGTTACAGGGACCAGATCATCGACTGAATAAAGAAGCAGACAAAAGGAGTGTGACGTCAACCATAGCGTTCAGCTCCAGTCAAATGAAGCTCATGAGGCCGGCAGTTACAGGAGAGAATTTAAAGCTGAGTTCTATATTAGGAATAAGAAATAATTTACAGACAAAATAGCGAAATAAAAACACCAGGATAACGAAGAGCGAGTTAATATGAATGTTACAATCCAGCTCGCTTGAGGTGAGGGAATTACCAAAAAGAGATGTTAAATGGAATAAATGAAATAATGTTTAATTAACAGGGTTGTAAAAGGTAAATTAACAAAATAGACTAAAATATGTAAAGAAAATAACCTCAGCTGGTGGTTAACTAAGGGACACACAACAAAAAAGTAAAACACAAGTTCCCCAAAGTACACCACATAAACCCACAAACAGAACCGAGTGACCAAATAAAAAAGGCACGAAACAAAACTAAACTACAGAGCTACACACATACAAACACAAAATGGCAGACTGGCCACCAAGGCCAGCAGCCACAAACAGGTGCTGGCAATCTCCTTAAATAGGGAGAGGAGGCTGTAGGTGAGGCAGGATTGGCCAGGTATAAAAGTGCTCCACCAATCACGAACCAGGGCTCCAACAGCAGGATCCAGGACAGCCAGCAAAATAATTTAAAGCACACAAAATAAATTACAACTGAAGGCCTAACAACGAACATTTTAAGACCAAAATGACGAGTCGATGGACCCAGAAGTGCCTCCATGCTCACTTCCTGTATTTGTCACGTGTTGGCCAGCTGATTATCTTTTCCATTTATATATCATGGATCTATAATAAAAACTGGATAAGCCATTTCCCCCTGTTCTGGCTTGAGACCAACTAGTGGCCACTCCAGGTACTGCAGCTCCTGTAAGCCTGGGTCTAAACCTGCAAACACTTTAAGACAGAAACTGGTCCACCCGAAGGACAAAACACTGAGACACAAACAAAGCAATGTGGTCTACTCCATTCAGTGTAGTGAAGACTGCAGTGAGTGTGACTCTGGAGAAGCGAAACAGTCACTTCACAAGAAGATATACCAACACAGACGAGTGAGCAACACAGGACCTCAGTCTGCTGTAAATCTTCATCTAAAAGCCTCGGGTCGCTCCTTTGAGGATAGTGAAGTTCAGATCTTAGCCAGAGAAAAGAATTGGTTTGAGAGGGGAGTTAAAGAAGCTATTTTTGTTTAAAAGAGAATCAATCTTTGAACAGAAATGGAGGCCTCAGACATCATCTATCTGCTATTTACAACTCCATCCTCAACAACAAGAGAACAACAGCTGTACCCAGGTCAGGTCTGAGGTGTGAAAGCTTCATCATGACCCTGAATGATTCTGCCAATATAACCCCACACTCAGTGCAGTTCAATAGGCCTTGTTGTTTACCTACTTTAAACAAGTAGGTGTGTTAGTTTCAGAGTAGTTTCAGTGTAGTTAGCTCCTCCCTTCTGGCAGATATAAGGAAGTGTCCACCAGAACGTCTGACCAGAACTGAAGAACCAGCTTATATGAGCTGAGAAACATATTCGACCTTTTGTCCAGTCGACAAATTGAATTTCTCCTCTGCCGTGGATTCCACCTGGAGGACTTAGGAATTTGTCACACATCCAGAAAGAATTCTCCCATAGAAGCACAAGGCATTTTTTGGGGAATTCAATTACCTGTGTTTGGCTGACAGGGCATCAACAACTCTCACAAAGGTCAGATTTTGTAGGGATTCTTTTGTATTTTCACAAAATGTTTTAAAATCCTCAAAGCACCAAAAACTTAGTTTTGTAAGAGTTCTCTCTAGCTGCTCTCGCTCTGATGCTCCACACCATGCACATTACAGACGTCACATGTGTGGGAGGCACTAACCCCTATTGAGGACGTAAATGCAGAAGTAAAAATAAAAAAATTGGACCCATGCGCCAATGAGCACAGGCCATTGAAAACAATATCCATCTTGGATTCATCTTCCAGATTTTATTATAGCTCTATGTTATATATACAGTCTATGGGCCAGATGCAGGTTTTTCTCAATCTTCATTTATGTTCCTAATATAGTCGTACCATAATTTGGCCACTTACCTACTACAACATGGAAATAAAATAAAATAAAGTAAAATAATAACATAGTTTAGATGGAAAATATCTTACAGGCAGCCAAGGGCTAGTGGCTTGAACGTTCTCCCTTCAACCCGAAGGTTACTGGTTCAAATCCAGCTCAAACCACTTCATACTGTTGTTGTGTCATTGTGCAAGACACTATATGCATTTTGCTGATGAATGTGTGGGTTGAGTGGAGCAGTTGGAAAGCTTTTGCCCTCTGACCAGACAGCTGTCTGGTTCTAACCTTTCTGTGGAGTTATGACACCTATTGTACTTTCTTTATGGTCATATTGTGTTTAAACAAAGCTCAAATTAAAGTCTAACGTGAGTAACAGAGCTTCAGACAGAACAGTGCCTCCAGTTAGCATCACACCCAGAGTCAAAGTGTCTGGAAAGCCCATCTCCATCAGAAAGTGAACAACTCAGTGTTTTTATCATTGTTTTTCATAATTTTATTTATTTTTTTACAAAAATTCACAGTTTATGTGGATACACAAAATACATTATAAATAGTTGGATTCAAAAACAAAAAAACATAATCAGTGAACTTAGCCGTCGTTGGAGGTGTTTTTAGCAGACAGAAACTCACAATACATGTGCAAAAATAATATAAAAATGTATTATTGTGTGAGTCGTAAATTTACATCACAATAAATACATAAAAGTGGAATATACCAGGGTTACACGATTGGAACTGAAAATGTTATATTGAGAAAACTAAGCTATGTGCTGTACAAATGCTGTTAAAGGTCTTATATTATGCAAAATATTACTTTTAGCCCTGTTATAATGCAGTTATCTCATCAAAAACACTGGAGTTGTGTTTTGTTCCTTTTACATCTGTATAGTGAAGGTGTATAGAGTTTAAAAACACAGTGGAGCTCTTCTGGTATTAAATAAACACAACTCCAAGTAAGGTTTTGGCGAGGAAGCATTATAACAGAGATCAGAAAAAAGCGTAATATAGAACCTTTTAACGTATCTTTATGTGAAAATGCAAAAAAGTTGTGCTTCAACAGATATAAAAACTTTAACTTTGTGTTTTTTGTCATTATAATATAAAAAAAAAAACAGGTTAAAATGTCTATTGAGGGTAATCACAATATAACATGTGCTTCTTGCTTCAGGAGTACCTAAGTGGAGGATTAACAGTATCGTTACATTTTACAAGAGAAACAAACGGGAGGAGGTTAGAAGCCATTTTAAAGGTGCACTGTGCGACTTTTCCGGTGTCTTGTCTCCTTGGAGATGTTGTTGCTATGCTTGGATTGTTCCACAGTATGGCATTAAACTTATCTGTCTTCCATTAACATCTTTACAATCTTTTTTATTGCTCAAACATGTCTAGAAAAATACTCATTCCTTCCTTGTAACTTCTCTGGTAGCATGACCTTCTCCTGAAAGATGTGAAAGATGAGATTAATGCCATACTGTGGAACATTCAGGGCAAAACATTAACATCTCCACCGAGACCCTCCACCAGAAAAGTTACATATTGCACCTTTAAAAGAAAACAAGTGTGATTGTTAAATTAATGACAGACTATATATTTAAAATGGAGACAAGTAGACCAAGGTACAGGTCAGATCTGTGGAGAGGCGAGTCCGCTCACAGCAAGAATGCATGTGTTTTTATGTAAGAAATCAAACGCTCGTAGTTGAATAAATGCAGATGAACAGAACTGTACCAGGTTTCACTATGGGCTGCTCCTGTCCAAAAGATTCTTGTGGATTTTACTTCAAAATAGCAGCAAGTTTGTATTTAATCCACATCTTAGGACATGTAAATGAATAATGAAATTACACTTTTTTCAGTCATTATTGATTCAAGACATAGAATATCTGCAGTGGTTTGATAAAAAGGGTCCATTGTCATTTCTAATTCAGTTCATTCATAGTTTGTTGTGAATGTCCCAAAAGCAAAAAAAAAAAAAAAAAAAAAAAAAGTTCTGCATTATTTTGATCCCTTCAACTGTTTTGTTGTACAAAATAATTTACAAAAAGACAACTCTGAGAGTGGTACACAAGAGGTCCAAAAATGTCCAGAGTCCACAGTGGCAAATATGAGAAAGAGAAACAGACCTGAAGTCATGTCTTACTGTTCTATGAATTTACACGGTTTGTTCTTGAATTGAAAGCTGCCTTTTTCATTGTAGAGTCTGCCATCTACGTGTCTCCATGGAGATATTATTGCTTTGCCTGGAAATGTTCCTCAGTGTGCTATTAAAATGATTTATCTCCATGGAGACAAGAAAGTGATATCACCATGTTAAATTACAGGTCAGATTCACACAGGAAAGTGGCATTTTTGTTTTAAGTGGATCAGGTTTGACTGTTTATCCAGACTGTGGTGAGAACTTCATTTATGTTCCATCCATATTTAGGAAAATAAATTACGCACTTTGAATTATGCAAATCCAGAATGACATCTCTGGAGATCAGTCTGGTCCCCACTCCCTCAACACGCCTCAAGTGGACTGTACTGTCCAATCAGATCTGTTTATCTTAGTGACGAATGTGAAATGAAAGAGCTCGTGACCAACCATTTTGTACCAAAACAAAACACATCTGATAGCCTCATTCATCAGCCAGTTTCACTTTGTGGAAACCGTCTGACCTCGCAACATTGGGATTCGTTCGCTTTTAACCAATCGCTGTTATTTGGTCGTGACGTATGTAATGCGCCGTTTATGGGGCTGACTGGTATATTAAGCTTTTCCCAAATCCCATAGGAAAAAGGGACAATAACGCCTTTCCCCTTGATAAAATTCACCAAACATTTCGATCTCGGGAATCGTTGCCAACACAAAATGTATGGCTCTTCGCTGATTGGGTGGTGCCCGGACTTGCACTTCCAGGGTTTTTGTGAACCGTCTAGTGTATTTTGATTCCTGACCTAGTCGCTGGAGAGAAATGAAATTGAGCGGAGGCACTAGGTGACGCCAGCCTGGCTACATATCTCACCCAGATGAACAGACTTTAGTGCTTTCATTATTGAGTTTGCAGAAATTTGCAGCGTTTTTTAGTCCCTTGTGATACTTCCTTAAGCAGACATATTTGTTTTGATACGGACAGACCCTATGTGTCCCTGATTGGCTAATCCACCTGTCAATCATGCCCATCTGAACTCAGGGAAATTCACCGGTGACCAGACTCACATTTTTGTACAGTATTGAAGAAATGTGTATTCTGGATCTCATGGCAACTAATAAAACATAATTTTGATCAAATTTCCTCCACAAAACAGTAAAACAAAGCTTCAGTACATCTCTCCTCACACCACTGTAGAAATATTGTCCATGAGTTTTATTTCAATTTTCATTTCCCAAACTTCTCGTCATTATTATTGTTATTATGAAGATCAATATTGAGATCGAACTCTGCTTGTTTCCTCAGCGCTCGCGGCATCAGCTTCTTCTGCATGAACAGTTTTTGGAGGAACTTGTTGCAGACGCTGAAGGGGCAGTAGCTGTGGATAAAGTACATTAGCCCCACCCCTGGTCCGGCGTAGTATTGCGGGTGTGGGCGGGGGGCGAGCAGAGCCTCCACGATGGTGTTGACGACGGGGCTGAGGTCGGGGTTGGCGGTGCGAGCGTGAGACTGGAACAGCTCCATGGTTTCGTTCAGGTAGTCCTCGCCGTATTCCTCCAGCAAAGACGGTGGCAGAGACTGGAGCAGGATCTTGTGCTGTTGTTCCCAGTAGGCGTGGTTACTCGACTGACCTGCGGAAAGAGAGAAAAGAAGAATTTTAAATGGGATTAAACACCACAACAGCCCAAAATCACATTTCAGATAGAGCTGCTATAGTTGGCAGTACCTGTGAACTAAAGAAGAGAGAGAAGAGGGAGGGGCGGGGTCTGGAGGTATAAGGAGCATTGTGATTGGTCTAACAGGCATCCACACTTCAAACTCCACTCCTGTAGTTTAGAGATGTACCCACAGACTGTCCCTGCATTTGATTAACCTTCCAAATCGATTTTCCGAGGAAGATGCCTAACGACACACGTGACATGCCCCTTTTCCTTGCACGGCGCGACTCGGACCTCGGTGGTGGAAAAAGTAGACCGAGCAAGGATTCCGAGTCAGAATCCATTATGGCTACGCCGTCAGTGGCGTGTAAATATGAACTGTTTTCATTGTGTTTGGACACTTTTGTGGTTTAATTGACAATTTCAGTCACTTGCATTACCCCAATACCTTACTGCGTCTGTATCACTGCCTGTGGGTGTGGTAGTCGGTGTTGTGGTGGTTGAACAAATACTTGATTTAGCGGGCTTTAACATCCCTAAGGTTGTAACAGAAGAGAAATCGGAACAAAGTTAAAAAAAATAAAATAAATAAATAAATACATTTATTAAAGTGGCAGCATTTCCATAAAATGAGGGATTAGTCATAATCATAATCCATGTAGTCTGACACACAAAACATAATAATACACTTCAAGCTCGAATGTGACGTCAAATCCGAGGTCCAAGTGGGAGTTAAACTCAGGGTAAATAAAAGAAGTGGACTAAACGACTGTGACAAAACCACAGTGGCAAATATGAGAAAGAGAAAGAGTTCAGCTCCACTCCAATGAAGCTCAAGCCGATGCCATGATTACAGAAGCAAATCTGGAGCCAGACTCCATATTTGGAAATCTGAAGGAGAGTATCATAGCAACCACAAGACCCAATCGTGACTGAGGTTGTTAAATTTGCCCGCCTTTCTCACCGGAAAACGGGCTTACGAGATTTTGTGGAGGCTAACAAAACTGTGAATATGCTACTTTTTTCTCTTAAACTCTAAAGAACTAAGATTTAAAAATGCTTAGAACAGTTATTTCTTCATATAAACTGCACCAAAATGGAGCAAAGCCTCATGGTCTATGTAGTTCCCTGTCTTTTTTTAGCTATTACTGCACCATAACTCTGCACTAAACGAAGAGACTTGTAATTCAATATATTGTGATGGTCCATGATATTATTCGGAGACCTTTGACAATACGATATTATGGTATTTTGATGTTTGTAATCAGAAACACCTGGCTGTAATCATGGCAGTTCTGTGTGATGTCACATAGTACTTGAAATTGCAGTTTTTGAATATTTTTGACCAGAAAACCTGCAAATTTATCTAGTTTGCTCTAAAATTACCAAATAGGACTAGGAATGGTAGACAATATTATAACTGAAACACCATATACAGAGTCAAAAAAAAGATGATTTAGCTTTTAGTTTTACTTTAAGACAGAATTTATGACAGATAAAGATCTTATATTATGAAAAATTGACTCTTGTGAGCTTTAAATCATGTTCTAATGCTTTTACCTCCTCAAAAACAAACCTGGACTTGTGTTTTTGTTTCTTTCACGCATGCTTCGAGTCACCCTTTATTATTAGTTTCCACAAAAACACAACACCAGGTCTGTTTTTGATGATGAAACAATATAACATAGATCAGAAAAATAGCATAATATGGGCCCTTTGGATAATTTGGTAAACAATATTCTGAATCCAGGCTCCGTATTGTAAACCTTGAAACCTTGACCTTGTGTCTCCCGGTCCTGTGTAGGTGGGTGTTGACTAATAGGGCATGGAAGGTCTGCTCCAGCACACTTGATCCCACCTTTTTACATTTTAATCCGAGAAGAGCAGGTTTTCCCAGACAGGATTTAAACCCTAATCTCTGGGCTACTCGCGGGTTGAATGTCCTTTTGGCTGACGTCCGAAATGTTGGGACCAAATTGGGCAAAGCGTTATCAAAAAAAAATAAAGAGATTTTCGTGTTAAAGCTGCACTATGTAACTTTTTTGGTTGGGGCTCTGTCGTTGCTCTGCCTGAAATGTTCCACAGTGTGACATTAAACAGCTCTACCATATATTTTTTCAATTACAGGTGGTTTTATAGCTCAAAAATACTGAGAAAACAGACATTCTCCACAGATCTGACCTGTAACTTCGTCTGGTTTGGTCTCCATGAAGACAGAAACTCTTAATGCCACATTGTGAAAAATTCCAGATGATAAATATCCGACATATCCTCCGCCAGAAAAATTACACAACGCACCTTTATCATGTGCCAAAAGTTGAGCACTGTTACTTGGAGAAAATCTTATCACTTTTAATCTTTTAAGTTAGTAAAAATGCCAGAGAGTTGTAGTCATTCATTAATTTGTAGTCCCTTCCCGCTCAGAGCTTAAGTGTTTTAAGGCTTTGGCGTATTTGCTCACCTCTATCACAAGTCAAACCAGGTCATAAAATATTCATTGTTTGTGGTGGCAACAATTTTTTATTTGTTGCTACAGATCGAAGATATATTCAAAACACTCGAGATACATAAGGGGCCAGCAAACCAGTGCTTCTAATATGATAGAAAGGGCATCTGATTTAAAGGTTCAATATTACACAAAATTGACTCTTGTGACCTTTAAGTCATCTTATAATGTTATCTCATCAAAAACATGGAGTTGTGTTTTGTTGAGTAACTCTTTATTGTTAGTCTGTCTACGACCTCCAAAGCTCAAAATGCTCCTTTCCACCTTGTGATGTCATGAAGTGATGGTTTTCAAGGTAACAGCTCCTTTTTACCTTTAGTTCAGTAGAAATGGACAATCACCAGGGCTGAAAGGGCTAACCCTAACCCAAAAATAAAAAAAAAACTGAAAAAATTATTCTCTAAAACAATTTTCTTCATTATTTGTCTCCAAAACCAAAATGAAAACACAATTAGTTTTTTCAGTTTTCGTTTTTGTGTTTAAATGAATAATGGAAAAAACGGATAACGGCCGTTTCCCGTTTCTGTGACTTAAACTGCAATTCTGGACTTTTGCAGACTGAACCAGGACTGAACCAAGACTGAGTGTTGGGATGAGCCCGGAGGTGCGCCCGCGTAGACTGTCAAACTGAGACCTGGACTGGACCGAGACTGAGACTGGGACCAGACGAGGACTGAGACCGAGATCAAACCGGGACTGAGACCAGACCTTAACTGAGACAGGGACCAGACCAGGACTGAGACCGGGACCGAGACCATGACCGAGACCGTTTTAGTCGTGTTTCCGTATGCGGTGCAAAAGTCCATTGCAGTTTAAGTCACGGAAACTGGAAACGGACGTTATCCGTTTTTTCCATTATTCATTTTAACCTGTAATTGAAAACTGAAAAAACAAATCGTTATTAGTTTTTTCATTTTGATTTTGGAGACAAATAATGAAGAAAATTTTGTTTTGTTGTTTTCTTATTTTTGATTTTATTTTAAAAAACAAATGAACGAATGATACATGGATATTAAAAAGCAGTTTCTAATCCATATGAATTGCTGCTGTAGATCATTTTATGTTTTGTCTTACCGTAATATTAAAATTGTAATTCTCTGTAATAGTCCTACTTCAGTAATATTGTGTAGTGTTACAGGCAGTTGACCTTAATATTATTTTCTAGGAGCGTCTGATAGATTTTTATGTCAGTTTATTCCAAACGATTGTGCAATGTAGACATGCCTTGGCTTATATTTGTTAGGTAACAGTTATGGCACCTCTGCTTCTGTCACATCATCTTCCCACAGGAACTTTATCAAATTTTTAAACTGAGTATAATTTTGAGTGAGCAGTTTGAGCGTCACACGCACTTTAAAATCTTCATTTCCTCATTGGTCAGTTTCTTCTGGTTTAAAGGTCCTATATTACGCGAAATTGACTCATGTGAGCTTTTAGTCGTGTTGGAACATTATTATTTAATCAAAGACATACATGGAGTTGTGGTTTGTTTCATTCGCACATCTTTGAGCAATCCTGGATTTTTAGGATTTATTAGTCTGTCTACATCTCCAAAGATCAAAATGCTCTGTTCCACCTTGTGATGTCATCAAATCGTAGGATTAAGTTGACAGATATTTTAGCCGTAATTGAGCTGATCTGCACTAGAATACAACCATGAAAAAATAATAAAATAAATCAATAATAAGAATAAGTTTATTTAATTTAAGTTTATAATTTGTTCTGAGGAATGAAGCTAGCCAAGATTGGATGTAGATGAAAACAGTTGGCAACGAGATTGAGGATGTTTGGTGAATTTTACCAAGGGGAAAGACGTTATTACCCTTCTTCTTACGGGATTTGGCGCATTACATAAGTCACGACCAAATAGCAGCGATTGGTTAAATAAAAAAGTACCCGCCTACCGTCGAGCGAACGAATCCTAATACTACGAGGTCAGACAGTTTCCACGATGTGAAATCGGCCGATGAATCAGGCTAGAGTGAAGCAGTTTCAACAAGACCAAACAACAGATGTAGGTTCAAAGATCGGCAATTCTAGGTTTGAAATTACCCACATGATTCTAGTGAAGGTGTATGGAGTTTAAAAACACAGGGGAGCACTTCCTGTATTACCATATGACATCACAAGGTGGGACAGAAGAACAGTTTGAAAGAAGAACTTCCCTCGATACAATATTTTCACGATATGCAACTCACGGTTCGAAATTTATTGCGATATTTTGTTGAGGCTTACAAGTATGCAATTTTTTTCCTTTTAAAAGCGTTTAGTACTGTTACAATACGAAGAATTAAGATTTAAAAGTGTTTCATAACAGTTATTTCTTCACATAGTCTGCACTGACAACAGCAAAGGATCATGGTCTATGTAGTTCTGTAAGTGTTTTTCTATTTCTGCAAAATGGCAAGGTAAGGAGGAGGTAATTCAAAGTGCTTTACAGAATAAGAAAGACATTAAAATCATAAATAAAGACATTAGAATTACCACAATTATTCATTTAAGCAAAGAGACTTGTAATTTGAATATTATTGTGAGGCTTTTGACGATACGATATCACGGTATTTTGGTTATTGTACCATGTCTGAATGAAACAAAACACAACTCCAGGTCTGTTTGTGATGAGGAAACAACATAATAACATAGTAGCTCATAAAATTGCATAACATCGGCCCTTTAAACCCTACATTCTTGCCGTCATACCCCCTTCATGTGCACAAATGGCTTTACAATGCGGTGGTCCTCGAGCCTGCTAATAGAGGTCACTGTGCTGCTGTTGCACATCTGTATCCTGCAGGACTTACTCAGCACTTTGTGAGAGGAGGGAGAGGACGAGAGGAGCAGATGTCCCGCTCCACATGGACTCCATTATGTCAGCGTTAGTCTCACAGGGAGGAACGAGCGGGGACATATCTGGACCAGAACCAGAACCAGAGCTAGACCACTAACTCTGACCGGCCCCCCAGTCCCTCTGCCCCCCACCCAATGACGCAATCCTCAAAATTTGTCATGACCTTTTTGTTTTGTTTTTATTACTTTTTGGCAAATAATAACAGGTCTGCATCTTTTTGTTGATTTTTTCAATAAAAAAATTATATTTATATGAAGTATTTATATTTCAATTATTATATGGCGTAGTTACTTTTGTCACCGAATTTTCATTACTTGACAAGCTCGACATCGAACAGTGACAGTCGACGCACGCGCAGAGTTCTGTAGTGCAGTTAAGGACAGCAAAATGTCTTGTGTTAAAGTACAAAAACTTAACAGAGAGTGTAGAGGTTTCAAATTATTTTTTTTGTTCAATGTGAAGACCGTGCAGTTTGTCTAAGGCCCTGTTTACATGGGAACTTTTACGGGTAAAAATGACAAAATATTTTATCAAAAGTGCCTTTCGTTTAGACGGTGACGGCATTTTTGGGGCTTAAAAACGCAAAAATCTGAAACCACCCTCCAGAGTGGAAAAGTTGAATATACTCTGCCGTAGTGTTTCTGTCTACACTGCCCAACTCGCAAAACTCTGGTCAGATCTGCTCACGTCGTGTACGCGTTTACGTCACATACATACAGTACACAGAAACAAACATGTCGCGTCATTTCCACGCATCGGACCTTCAGCTCTAATAAACTTGCAGGAGGCATCCCAACAAATGTAAAGAATCTGCAGAGATACTATTAGTGAACAGAGAAGGATCTGCAATCATGATGTCAAATTCTGGATGCACTAGTTCGTCCCAGTCGAGCCAGACGTCATGCATACCATCGAATTCCACACACTTTTGCGTCACCGTATGCACGCAGATTTCCTCCCGAAAACACTCGTCTAAACGTGGAATAAAAAGTGAAGACGCGACGCCACTTTCCCTCTTCTGTTCAGACCGTCATCATATAAACGTAGCCTCATATGTAAAGAAAATGAGGCGGTTTTCAATGAATATAATCTGCGTTGTCAGCGTCGTACAATTCTGTTAGACGGCCGACCCGACCCTGGCAAACATCACAGTCAAGAGCGATAATGTGGCCCCCAGACAAAAAAAGTTTGATGATCCCTGATTTAAAGCTTCACTGTGTAACTTTTCTAGTGCAACCAGTGTCTCCTGGAGATTATTTTGCTTTGTGTAGATTATTATCCCACGGGAAAGGTAGTGTCTTCCCTAAGGACACAGTGACAGTTGTAAGATTTCAACTAGTTACTCAACGGTTCATTGGTAAACAGCCAAAACACATTAACTTGATAAGAGATACTTGAGATAAAGATAGAAGCATGCCAATATAAATACAAGTACAAATGCAGGAAACAAAAAATACTTAATAAAAAAAAAAAAGAAAAAAGTATTCATTGTTAAAGTACAGATCTAAAAAATCTAAAAGGGCTATCACACCTTGTTATGTGATCGTTGACACACGTTCACACATGTAAATTGTAAGTTACTGGTAAGTCCAAATATGTTGACATAATGTCTAGTGTACCTATAACTTAAGAGTAACGTGCTTTTGAACCTATTTGTGACGTATTTGGCATGTTCCGACGACCACAGAACTTACTGAATGTGTTTCTAACTTATAGCTACCGTATAATGGCGTATTGGCATCGGTATCGGAGAGATGGAGGATCCGGTAAGGCTGAGACGAGAATACATGTGAGCTGTCCTCCAACATCGGCATGATCTCATCGAGTTGTCACTGTACCAGTTGCATGCCAATAGAGCCATCACGCTGATTAATGTTGCTACTGTGATGTCTCGTGCAGTTATAAATAGTCGAGGGCCACTTTTTTATAGGTGATGACACGTGATCGTCGGCGATAGTTAGATTGTCGTTGGGCCTCAGTTGTTGACGCTGGCAACACGCTAAGCATTATTTGGTATAAGTTATCAAATGTTCAATATAAGTTATTAATACATTATGTATACATCCAACTTGTTACGAGTACGCTATGTATACGCCCCCCCCCAAAAAAAAAACAAAAAAAAACATTGATAGTATGTGAGCGTTTTAGGGAAATTCTGGTACATCGGCATACGCTGACTAAATCGTCCAGGTGTGACAGAGCCATAAAGCAGTACTTTTACCCATGCTTAAGTGATACCATGTATAAATATAAATGTAATTGCTCAATCTACAAATGGTCACATTTTTCTATAGCGCTTTTCCACCTTCAAGGCACTCAAAGCGCTTTACAACAAGGAACCACTCACCCATTCACACACCAGTGTACGCAGACACTGTGGGCAAGGTGGGTTAAGTGTCTTGCCCAAGGACACAACAACAGCATTCATCTGTGGGAGCTGGAATCACACCAGCCAACCTGTGGGTCAGTGGATCTGACCACTCAACCTGTGAAGTTTATGTCGAGAGCTGGAATCGAAACGCCAACCTCAGATCAGTGGGCGAATGCTCTACCAACTGAGCTACTGCCACTCCAGTTGTATATAAAGGTATACAACAGCTTTTTGAAATACTTTTGATAAGTAAACCTTTAAGCGTGTGCGGTCGGTGCGGTGTCTGTACCTGTCTTGAAAGCTGCCGGTAACACGGTGGACACGTGGACCCCCCACTGCGCCAGCTCGTGTCTCAGAGTGTTCATGAAGAGGTTCAGAGCGGCTTTGGACGAGCCGTAGGCCGACAGACAGGGGAAGGGGAGGTCACCTGGAGAAAGAGAAACACACATCAGACTCATGGAGCAGCACTGTACAACTGTGTGAGGTCACTGAGTGTGGAGTGACTGAATAATGAACTGTAAAGCGCTTTGGGTGCTATCAATCAACATTTCACTGTACTGTCTCTTCACTCCTCGGATACTCGCACTGGGAGAGGAATTCATGTAAATCAGTGTCTAAAGCAACTGAAACCAAAATAAAATCACAATGTGTTTCAGAAAGATTAAATATTAGGACCATTGCCAAAGTGATTATCGATTTACACAACAAGTACAGATGGAATTGAATGGGAAAAGTCCTTAAAATGTTGAGTGTAACGACCATGAACAGGAACTTTATCCAATTTTGAAACTCAGTACAATTTTGAATGAGCAGTTTAAGATGTCACATGCACTTTAAAATCTTCATCTCCTCATTGGTCAGTTTGTCCTTGTTTATAGGTACTATATTACACAAAATTTATTACTGTGAGCTTTTATCAAAGAGTCACCATTAAGCTGGTGAAGTGTCTTGCCCTGTGACACAACATCAAAAAGATCTGTCCTCAATGAAAGGCAATTTGATTATACATAAAGTTACTTGCCAATGAGTTTTCATCATTATTTAAATGTGCAAGTAATGTACCACAGCATGGAGACAAGCAGGTGAGTTACAAGTCAAAAATCGTTCTCAAGAATGCATACTATTCAATGAGTTATTTTTAGAATAATAATTATTACTTTGCAATAAAAACACAATTGAAATGTCCACAGATAAATACTGTGGATTATCCCTGAGAAAGCAACAACATGGAGACATGGAGAAAAACATGCGATGGACTCCCCGCCATAAAAGTTACACAGTGCAGTTTCATTGGTCCAACTCCATTACCAGTGCAGTATCTGGTGTTTTACTGTCTTAAAAAGTAAATTTTAAAAGGTTTGCAGTGATCCAAAGTTATTTCCTCACTTGCCTTGTAGCATCTTTAATGATTTGCCACAATTAAATGTATTTATTTACTGGACACAGGCTTAGGGAATGTGCAATTATTAATAGAATACAAGAATACAAAGGGCTTGCCTGTTAAGAATAATTTAAAGGTCCTGTTGGTGCATCACTCGTGGTCATACTTGGTCTTGTATTTATTTTGTTCTATGGTGTTTGTTTATGTGGTGCTATGTGTTGTGTTGTCCTGCTTTTTGATAAAGCATGTTACCCCCTGTCCCAAGATGAATTTCTCCCATGGGAGACAATAAAGGACTATCTTATCTTATTTAATAATTTATGTATATATTTATATATTTATGTATTTATTTTGTAGTAATTTTTATTATCCCTGTAGGGAAATTCGTCCTTCAAGAGCAGTAGGCAAACTCATCTCCATGATCTTGTTGCTAGGCTTGGTCAGGAGTTGAGCTGGAGGAGTTAACCTTTGGTGCATGTTTTATGGGTTGATGGGGAAAACCGCAGTGCCTGGAGGAAACCCACCTAGACACGGGGAGAACATGCAAACTCCACACTGAAAGGCAACTCAGGGGTCGAATCCGGAACGTTTAAAAGCTTAAAGTGCTTTTCACAACTTTCAAAGGCCAGAGATTTGCCATCAGGATAATGTTAACAACTAGCATGCTAAAACACTTCCTGATTATCATAATTAAGAGTTTTGCCATCACGATCATGCTAACAACTAGCATGCTAAGACACTTCCTGATTATCATACACGCACAGCAGACTTACACTGACCTCTAGACCTGCTTATACAACATATCTGTACCGGGTCAATACAAATGGTGCTCAAATACCTGGAAAAATCAAATAGATGACATTTAACTGTTACATCTCGAGCTAATTTTTAACTCCAGACCATGGGACAGTAAAAAAAATGTTAAAAAGTAGTTAAATGTGTTAATTCCTAATCCTGCGGTACTGTATACTGGACATGTCCTGTGAAAAGTTAATTGATAACCGAAATGCAACTTTGCTTTCCGAGAAGTTAGACAGGATTTACGACATTACAGCGTGTTCTGGCTCCGCTCTGAGGCCCGTCCTGACAGAGGAACGCCGTGCCAGCTGGAAGTAACGCGATATAAGAGGGAATTATCAGAGGAAACCTGCGCCAAGTCAGGCTCTGCTCCACAGTCAAACAGGGCTATAACATGTGTGAGGCTATAAAATGGTTTAAACCAGGGTACGGTGGTCGAGAGCGATCAAATTTAATTCAATAGTGTTTTTATTTGAGTGAGGCAGTGCATGTTACAGGTGCATGGTGTAACTTTTCTCTTCTTATTTCCATGGATATGTCATTGCTCTGCCTGGCATGTAGATCTACTTTACATTTATTCAATTACAGGTGGTTTTATAGCTCAGAAATGTCTAGAAAACCACACATTCTGACTATGAGCGGGGTCGCCTCCCACAGATTTGATAATAATATTTAAAAGTCCTATATTATATGAACTTGACTCCTGTGAGCTTTAAGCCGTGTTATAATGTTGTTATCTCATCAAAAACAAACCTGGCCTTGTGTTTTGTTTCATTCACACACGTTTGTGTACTGTATTTTTCAGGCTATAAGTTGCACTTTTTTCATGGTTTGGGTGTTTCTTATGACTTATACTCTGGTGCGATTCATATATTAAAATGTTCACACTGAAGCTGCGAGAGGTCTAGTCTTGTGTGTCAGTATCTGCTGCTCCTGTTCCTCCTGTACCACTGTCACTTGGCTCTACTGCGCATGTCTCCTGCAGAAAAAGCCTCTGGCCTGTCTGTATGTCAATCGATCACATCATTACTTCTGTACCAATTAAACAAACTTATGAAGACGACTGAGAAGACTGAATACAAATGCCCCCAAAAATGAAAATTATATTTTGCAGATTACAAGCTGCAAGTAGTGAAATATCCAGCCAAAAACGATAATCGAGCAGCAGAAAGAAAGTCTGGACTTCAGTGACACTGAAACCATCCTGTCGGGATTCAGAAAGGCCGGAAGAATTCTAACTGGAACTGATGCTGAGTCTGACGACAGCTACACAGAAGAGGAAGCGGTGCTCTGTTTACCTCCGGAGGTTGAGGAGTTGCTCAGAAGTGACACCCAGGATGAAGAATAGAATGGATTTAGTGATTTAGGAGTGAAATGGAGAGTTTGTTAAACTTGTTCTGCTCTGTTGTTTATGTTATAGTTTATCTGAAGAACTGTTCATATGTGACATTAACAGTCTGTTGTTCTCTCTTCTATCGTTATTACTAGAACTTGACTTTTAAATTGAAATGTTGTTTCTTGGTCTCTGATTTTATAAAACTAATTTCCCAGAAAAAGTGCGACTTATATATATTTTGTTCTTCTTCATTAGGCATTTTTTGGCTGGAGCGACCTTTTTTTATGTCCCTTACTTGACATTGTTTCCACATATAGGAGCAAGTTATTACTTATTGTCCACAGTGCTGAGGAAGTGCCCATTAGCATCCAAGTTGTTGTAAACCTCTTAAAAAGTAAAGTCTTCGTGGTGAATCAGGCCTGTCAACAGAAATCTGGGGGCCCCGGGTAAGAATCCTCACACTGGCCCCCCGCTAATATAAATTAATTGGAAGAGGGTCCAATTCTGTGTCTCTAAACGCAACAGACCACTTTGCCCTCCCCTTCGACTCTAGTTTGCTCTCATAACTTTGGATCACCGCAAACCATTTAACTCTAGTTCTGTTTTTCACGGTACAAGACTTAAAAACAGAGGAGTACCTTAATGTTAACTTGTCCTAAATACAAAATATGCTTTGTAAATACCTAACTGTCCCAGGACCAAAACAAACATGCGTGTCAGGTTCAGCTTATCTCAGTGTAAAACAGTCCAATGTCCAGTGAGCGGGGGGCGTGTCTTAACTGGACGTTTCTATACAAACTCAGGCTTGGGTTATTTTAGGTGAACTTTCATCATTTATCATTCAGAATAGTTTGTTTAGTCAATATCTTGGACACACACTTTTGTACATTAGTAAGATTCATTAATCCACAATATTTATCCACACATTATTTCCAGTCCTTCAAGCCAGTCCATGGGTTTCGGCTTCAGTTAAGCAACATTTTGAGGATTTTTCCATTCAGAAGCTATAATATTTAGTCTCTGTTATTTGCTTAAATGCTTTCGCTATTTATCACGTGAATAGGCAGTCACATTGTGTATCTGATCTACCCTCATCTACGAATTTCTCCACCGAGCGCTCAGCAAATACCCTCCAAACTATAATATTTAGTTTTAAATTGAAAAATGTTGTCTTAAATCCAGCTTACTCATTAGTAGTTCCTTCTTAAAAATGGAAAATATTGCACTACTCGCCTCAAGAAACATTTCTACATTTCTAGTGGAGGGAACGGCACCTGCTTGTCTCTGTGGAAATGTGATTACTTTGTCTAGAATGTTCCACAACATAGATTAAACCTCAATCTATCACGAGGGAGACAAGTAGACGACTGCACTACGCTACATTATAGTTCAGATCTGTGGAGAGTTACCCTGATTCATCAGCCGGTTTCACTTTGTGGAAACCGTCTGACCTTGCAGCATTAAGATTTGTTCGCTCGACGGTAGGCAGGTACTTTTATTTAACCGATTGCTGCTATTTGGTTGTGACGTATGTAATGCAACAAATCTCGTAGGAAGAAGGACAATAACGTCTTTCCCCTTGATAAAATTCACCAAACATTCTCTTTGTTCCGGGTTAAAATCCTTGATCTTGGAAATCGTTGCCAACACAGAATGTCTGTCTTCGTCTACATCCATCTCGACGCTTTGTTTACCGTTGTGTTGTAAGTAAGTAAGTAAGTTTTTATTTTATATAGCCCTTTTCACAGACATATGTCACAAAGACAGGCATTATTCAGCATTATTCATTCACTCCATATCCGGTGATGGTAAACTACTTTTACTGACAGAAGCGCTGCTGCCATGCCAATCTGTGCCATTGGTCCCTCTGATCACCAACATCACTCACACCCACTTTCATACTAGGCAATGTGGATGAAGTGTCTTGCCTAAGAACACAACGACCCCCTGTGGCACCTAATTTTCCCAGTTGTTTCCCATCCAAGTCCTAACCAGGCCCGGCCTTGCTTAGCTTCTGAGATCTGACGGGATCAGGATTTGACAAACGGGTATGACCACCACAAAAGGTACCCAGACAGGCGCTTGAGTTTGACGTCATGGCTTCACAGCTCTTTGCTGATTGGCCGGTGTGCGGTCTACAACTTCCAGGGTTTTTGCGAACCGTCTAGTGTATTCTGATTTCTGACCTAGTCACTGGAGAGAAATGAAATTGAGCAGAGGCACTAGGTGGCACCAGTCTGACTAATGGAGAGTTGCCCCTATTCACAGAAGCAATGGAAACACCCGTAAGGAATAATTACTAGATGGATATGTTTGATGTCAAAATATGGAAGAACCCAAGGAAAGCAATACACATCTCCATGGAGACAAGCAGGTAGCGGAAAAGCTGAGCTGTAGACCTTTAAACGTGTACTTATAGTAAAGATATTTAAATAAAGATAAAAGGTCTCAAATGGCATAATCAACAATACAAATGGGTGGTTGTGTATGCAGAGTTGTGTATCTGTAGTACTGGAGTTGGTTATATTGGTGTATGCAGTAGTAGTCTGTAGTATTGTACTGCAGAGCTGGTATATTATATTGGTGTATGCAGTAGTGTATGCAGTAGTGTATGCAGTATGGTACCTGCGGGGCTGGAGATGGTGACGATTCGTCCTTTGGCCCGTCGGAGCAGAGGGAGGAAGCTCTGTGTCACTGAGAGCGTCCCAAAAAAGTTGACCTCCATACAACCACGGAAATTTGACAAAAGAGACAACTCAGAGTCTCCAAAGTTCACACAGACTCCGGCGTTATTCACCAAACCCCACAGACCTAAGAAACAGACACAAACAGTTCAGACTTTAAGTATATGTCAGTTTTTCATGCTTGTTTGTTTTTTTAAATTATGACTTGGTTTGGTTGAATGGTACGTAAATATTTATCAGAGTTTTACACCAGTTAATTTGCAGTTTGGGGGAAAAAGTTGAAAAGAAAAGTACAATAACAAACAAAGTAGCGCTGAGTTCTTAAACTGGAAACCTCGATTTACGTCATCAACACTGAAAATTCCATCCAAAAAGCCCGGACAATTTGCGCACAAAGAAGACATTTTTCTAGCGGTTTAAACCTTGCACCAAAGCTTACTTTTGCTGTGCACTTAAGCAAAACTCTTCACCTATCTTTAAATGAATGCTGGGATGTTGGAGGGGTGCCCCAGGGGTCAATTCTGGGACCCCTTTTGTTTTTTTTTTGTTATTTGACACCTGTCTCTTGCTCTTTTTTGCTTCTTATTTAGCTTTTATTATTACATTTATACTTTTTACTCTTTTTTATTGTGTTATATTGTGATGATTGAGCTACTGTGTCCAAATAATTTTCCTTGTGGGTCAATAAAGTTTCTACATGCTGCCCCTAGAAATCTAAAACCTTCAAGTCAGGCTAGAAATCTGGGACTAATAATGGACACAGACTTGAACTTTAACTTTAACGTGAAATCAATAACATCTGTAGCTTTTTACAATCTAAAAACAACCAGAATCAAAGGTCTCTACGCTGATTTATCATGGCTCAGAGGATAGACTTCTTACGAATATTTTCTGATGTACAGTATGTTATAACGTTGTTTCATCATCGCAAACACACCCAGAGTTGTGTTTTGTTTCATTCACGCATGTTTAACACTCTAACCCGGCGTATTTACTCTGCGCTCTTCTCTCAAACAGAACACACCTTGTGATTTCATGTGGTAATGCACGAAGTAATTGCCAATCCTTTTTGAGGTAAAGGTAAAAGGAGCTGTTAAAGGGACAGTCCGGAATTTTGGACATAGGGCCTCATTTCCTAGTGAGCCAGAGTGTTGGAGACACTTTTTAAAATATTCCATCCAGTCCTTGTATTTGCAGAGGTCGCTGGTGCTAGACTAGTGTCATGTCAATGACCTTAGTTATCCTGCCACTAGTGATGTAACAATATATTTTCACGATATGCATCTCACGGTTCGATATTTATTGGGATATTTTATAGAGGCTTACAAATATACAACTTTTAAAAGCCTTTAATACTGTTATAATACGAACAATTAAGATTTAAAAGTGCTTTATAACAGTTATTTCTTCATGTAGTCTGCACTAAACAGCAAAGGATCATGGTCTATGTAGTTCCCTCTGTTTTTCTATTGCTGCACCACGGCAAGGCAAGGAGGAAGTAATTCAAAGTGTTTTACAGAATGAGAAATCATAAATAAAGACATTAGAATCACCATAACTATTCATTTAAGCAAAGAGACTTGTAATTCGATATTATTGTGAGGCTTTTGACAATACAAATCACGGTATTTCGTTTTTTGTTACATCCCTATCTGCCACTAAAAACAGTCTTACCCACTTCACAAAGCACCCGAAGCAAATCTATTATTACACCAGACTGTCGATGTAAATGTCTGTGCTAGATAGAATAATGTTTGAAATGAAACTAACCTTGCATCGCATGAATCGTCGCATGTTGATGGACTATTTTCTCATATATCAGTCCGCCGCTGCCAAACTTTCTATCAGGAAGTAAAACTCGCTGGTGCTGCTCAGACATAAATCCTTCAAATGTAAGGTTGGTTTTACTTCTAAAATTATTCTATCGACACAGACATTCACATTGACAGTCTGGTGTAATAATAAATTTGCTTCGGGTGTTTTGTGGAGTGGGTAAGATAACAATGGTCATTGTATGGAAACCGGGAGGGCTCATAACAAATGCAAGCTCTGCAACAAATGCAAACGCAACAAGGGCAAACGCAACAAGACAATAAAAAAAATCACAAATGAAGTGACAGCGGGACTCTATTTTAATGCAAAAGCCGCAACAAACACCACAACACAAATACAAACGCCACAACACAACAAAAAGCCACAACAAACTAAAAAGCTACAACGGAAGTGGCTTTTTGTTGTGCTGTGGCATTTGTACTTGTTGCGGCGTTTGCGTTTGTTATGAGCCCTCCTGGTTTCCGTACACCATTAACATTTGCTAGACTAGCACCAGCGACTTCTGCAAATACAAGGAAAGGATGGAAGGACTGTCCCTTTAACTTGGAAACTATTGCTTCATCACAAGGTGGAACGGACCATTCTGAGCTTTTGGAGATGTAAACAGACTAATAATAAAAAGTGTTACTCAAACATGCATGAATGAAACAAAACACAACTCCAGGTTTGTTTTTGATGAGGTAACGACCTTCTCACACGGCTATAAGCTCAGAAGAGTCAGTTTTTGCGCAATGTACGACCTTTGACGCAGCTCTGTTTGTGTACCAGTCTCTCCGTGTCCTAGTTTTCATTATACTTGCAGAAACAGAAATCTGTGTGGTAAAACATAATGGTACAATTAATATTATTTTCAAATCAACATTCCTGATGGGCGATTAACTGGTATTCACAGGCAAAGATACAAGAGCGCACGCAGCCAGGATTAAGTGGTGTTTATGTAAAGGGAATTGGCTGAACAGACTTGAACCGTGTATTTGGCAAACAGCGTCTCACAATGTGGCACCACTCCACAAGGTTCAACACAAGCACAACAAACACAAATCAGAGCTCAATGATGCCATATCCAGCAGGAGAAAGGCATCATGGGTAATTCGAACAGATTTACAGGGCTGTGAAATAAATCCTGTTGCAAACTAAACCTTTGACTTTTGCTTTGCGGAATGTTATTGGACAAGTGGGTATCTTTATGGAGCTGGATTTAAGCTTCTCCATTTCATTGTTTGTGGATACTGCGGTGTGAGACGAAACATCCCATCTGTGTTTTATTTTTACTTGAAATAGCCACTACAACGTGATATAAATACTCTTACTGTGAGCCAGTGCGATGCTATTTTGAATAGTGAAAGGTGCACGAGTTCTTCTGGAGGAGGGCCTTGAATGTTCCACAGAATAGCATTGAACTTATGTATTTTTAAGACAAAGATGATCAATTATGGTAAAGCTAGTGTATATTGTTTTATGCAAACTCAAATTACAGATTCTTTATTTTAAAGCAGGGGTCACCAAACCTTTTTTCTCACATTATCGCTCCTGACTGTGATGGGGGCCGGGGTTGGGTTGGCTGTATATCAGAATTGAATGACCCTTGTATGTAATCTTCGATCTTAATGTCTGTCTTGTATCTTGTATGTTGTTTGGTTCCTATTTGTTGTAATGTATGTAGTTTGCAAAAAAATGATTAATTAAAAAAAAAAAAAAAGAACTGAACAACCCTGACGACGCAGATTATATTCTTTAAAAAACCACCACACTTTCTTTACGTATTGGACAAGCTGCAGGGTGCTTACACTGAACAAAAAAATAATCGGTCGCCCACTGTTCTTTGAAAACTCGGCACTCTCTGTCAACTTTTCATACTTTATCATTTTACTGTCTTTAACTGCACTACAGAACTCTGCGTGAGTGTTGACTGTCACCGTTTGATCAGGTCAGGTGACGAAAATTTGGCAGCAAATTTGGCTGCAAATGTAAATACATCATATAATTATCTGAATATAAATACTTGATGTGGAACCTGCCTCTCAAATATGCAAAGCAAATTTACCTACGGGTAGAAATAAAGCAACCTAACCTAACCTAACTTTTGAGGTGGTCTCATAGGACCAGTTCAAGAGGCAGGGGGGCAGAGAGTCGACCTGTGGGCTTTAGTTTGATGACCCCTGCTTTAAATGAACATATTACACTATTTTCTTATCTATGTTATAATGTTGTTTCCTCATCACAAACAGACCTGGAGTTGTGTTTTGTATCATGCACACAAGTTTAACACACAAAGGCTGTATATTTAGGCTGAGTTCTCTGAAATGGAACACTCTGTTTCAACTTGTGATGTCATGTGGTGATACAGCCAGTGCTTCATTGTGTTTTTAAAGTCCATAGACCTTCTACTAGAATCACTTGGATGATTTCAGCCCATAACTAAAGGCAAAAGCTTGGAGTGGAGCAGAGAATTTTGAGCTTTGGAGATGTAGTCGGACTAATAAACCAAGTTGTCTTACATGTCTAAAAGTTCACAAGAATCCACTTTGTGTAATATAGGACCTTTAACCTAACCAGAGGCTGCACTTTCGCCTCACAGCAAGAAGCTTCTGGGTTTGACTCCTGGGCCTTTATGAACTGTAAATATTTCTGCTGGTTAAGTTTCCCCCATGAACCCAAAGCATGCATAACACATCAGTTTTTTTTTTTTTTCTTCACTAGGTTTTAACCAGTGACATATACATTTTTGTTGTTGAGTATCTTATTGTTTTCTATGTTTTTTAGTAGTGTTTGTGTACAGCACTTTGGTCAGCTGTCAAGTTTTTAAAGTGCATTATAAATAAAGTTTGTATGGTCTGGTAAATCCTCCAGCTGATGTAGTCCTGACCCCGTCCCTGCTCCCTGCTCTTGACCGGCTGTCCCAGTGGCACTGAAGGACATAAACAATAACAAACCTGATGTACTTTACCTTAACTTACCTCTCAGTTGTACATCAAGTACCGTATCTGAGCTGTTATTAAAGCACAGGCCCATTGAAATGAGATGTTTACTTAATGCAGTAATGTTCAACAAATGTTCAATGAATTCCAAAGATAAGTGGTTATATCAGTGTGTACCCGTGTTTAATACGGGCTCTGCTTGGATACAGAGTGAAGATAAGACTGCAGGACACTTCATTCATGTTCTGTGCTGCTGCTGCTGCTGCGGCTGTGAGAACCGACGCTTATCTGAGTGGAGTTTAACCTCACACTGTACGCTCAAGTTTACACTGGAGAGAGAAGAGAGGGAGGGAGGGAGGGAGGGAGAGAGGGAGAG